CGGGCTCCCTTCTTTTCCGCCCAGCTGAAGGCAGGCGCATTCAGCTCCTCCCTCTGGGCCTTCAGTTCTGACCTCGCTCTGAGCCCAATCACTCTTCTCTGGGCAACTCCTGCCCTGTACGTGAGGGGCACCCACTCACACACCATGCTCATTCCTCTCTCTCGCCCAGGGCCCGGTCAGCGAACCCCAGACGAGGGAAGGAAAAGGCGCCTTCCCCCGCAGTGCCGTGTCGAGAGCTCGTTCCTTCCTGCGGCGCCCTTCCCGCGGCTTCGGGACGGGCATGGAGCTGTCCCCGCAGATGCCGCCCTCGGCTCGAAACCTTGCTCTAACGGTTCCCATTTCACTTCCTCAGAACCGAGCGCCATCCTGGGATCCTTCTTGTCATTGTGGCTGCCAAAACACACCGCTTCTTTAAAACTTCACTTAAAAAAAAAAACCCAAAAAAACAAGAAAAAGAAAAACCCTAAAACCACCCATCATCCAAAGCCCAAAGGAGGCATGCACTATAATCCGCTAATCTGCTTTCTTTTTTTCTTTTCTTTCTTTTCTTTCTTTTCTTTTCTTTTTTTCTTTCTTTTCTTTCTTTTCTTTCTTTTCTTTTCTTTTCTTTTTTTCTTTCTTCCTTCCTTCCTTCCTTCCTCCTCCTTCCTTCCTTCCTTCCTTCTTCCTTCCTTCTTCCTTCCTTCCTTTCTTCCTTTTCTTTTCTTTTTCTTTTTCTTTTTTATTTTGAGACACAGTCTCACTCTGTTGCCCAGGCTAGAGTGCCGTGGCGTCAGCCTCACTCACAGCAGCTCCAACTTCTGGGTGGTGGTGATGATGGTGATGATGGTGGTGATGATGGTGGTGATGATGGTGATGATGATGGTGGTGATGATGGTGATGATGATGGTGATGGTGATGATGGTGGTGATTGTGGTAATGATGATGATGATGATGATGTGATAGTGGTGATTATGGTGGTGATAGTGGTGATGATGATGGTGATTGTGGTGATGATAATGATGGTGGTGATGATGGTGATGATGGTGGTGATGATGATGGTGGTGATGATGGTGATCATGGGGATAATGATGATGATGGTGGTGATGATGATGGTAATGGTGGTGATTATGGTGATGCTGGTGATGATGGTGTTGATGATAAGTCAGAAAGAAATTCACAGAGAATCATCCACCGTGGAGTCACTCACTGTTCTCCCTTGATTCAGATCCTGACATCCAACTCCCTGCTGGACACCCCCACCTGAAGTTTCCTCCAGGAAGCCACTAAACACGGCACAACTGAACACGGCGTCTCCTCTTCCCACTCTGGCCCCTGTGTGGTCTCCTCCTCCTATTTCTCCAACTCTGGGAAGGCACCAACAATTCCGGCATTTTCTCAGTCCTGAAACCCCAGTTAGCATGGGCACCTCCACCTGTCTCTGCCCACCACATCTGCTCACACTTATCTCCTGGACACTCTGCCTGCATCTCATTGTTCACGGAGGTCTTCTCCTATTCCAGAAATTCTTCTGCTTCTGGATTCCGGAGACTGACAATGGGGGAGTGGGGGTTCTCCTGTGGCCAGCTGCGCCATGTAACACCCTGTAAACACTGTCATCAAGAATTATGCACCAGGCCAGAGCTGGCCCGTCCCAACCCACGGCTGCTGTCAGGATGGCCTTGGCGCCCAACTTCTACTTGTGTGTTTCTTCTCATGAGAAGGTCTCTGGAGCTTCCTGCAATGCTCAGATGCCCGTGAGCTCTGGCCTGTTGCTCTAATCCTCCACTGAGACTCAGCACATCCTCTGTGGTCCAGATCAAACGCAGTCTCTTCCCTAGCCTGCTCCTGCCCATCACCATGTGAGAAGGCCCCTCCCTGGGGGGACCCGAGATGATGCCCCAGCCTGTGTTGCTTTCCTACTCAGCGTGTCCTGCCGCGAGCTGCCAATCTGCTTCCTACCATCCGTGGAAGGGTTTAGAGCCCCGGGGTGCTCAGTGAAGGTCTCATGAATGGCACTGGACAGGAGTGGCCCTAAGCTGAAAGCCAGACACAAGGTATGTGCCACTGAAGACAGGAAGACCCAGCGTGGAGCCTGGGCTGGGCAGGCTCAGTGAGCACATCTGGTCGAACTCTTGGGAAGGTAAACTCCTGTATCAATGCTGGAGAGAAGCCGCTCGCTACGCTTTGGCTACGTTCACTGGGCTCTCTGCCACATGTCTGCTGCTGAAATGTGATGCCCAGTGCTGGTGGCAGGACCCGGTGGGAGGCGTGTGGCTCAGGGGGCTCAGGGACCGCTCATAAAGAGCTTCCTGCAATGCTCCGGAGGGTGCGTGAGCTCTTGCGCTGCTGTGTCTGCACAAGCGCTGGTTTTTGAAAGAACCTGTCACGTCCCACTTCTCTCTCTCCCTGGTTTCTCTGTGGCCACGCCACCGCTGCACACGCCATCTCTCTCATTCCCCTTGTGCCGCAAGTGGGGGCGGCCAGGGTCCCTACCCATAAGCAGAGGCTCAGGCCACAGCTTTTGTACAGCCTGCAGAGCGGTGAGCTGAATAAACCTCTTTCCTTCTGTGTTTCCCAGCCTTGGGCTTTTTTTTTTTTTTTTTTTTAGCAACACAAGTGGTCTAAGACACAGCTCCGCCGGGAATAGAACACTCGATGTGACACACTCTGGGAAGCTGCCTTTTGCCTCTGCTCTTGTGACCGTGCCGGCACCCCCTTCGACCGCCTGTCCACGGAGCCCTGTGCGCTGTGTAGGCGCCACCTGTTTGCACCTCGACTCCCCTCTGCTTGGCTCTTCTCGGCACTTTGCAGGCAGCACAAGGGGGTGGGTGCGGTCCGCGCGGGAGCTTCTCGAGCAGCACGGTTTGGAGTGGAGGCTGCCAGCCTGCCCGTGAGCTTGCCGGCCACGGGTGTCTCAATCGTTACTGTCAAATGAGGAAGCTCAAGGTCAGGAGGAGGAATTTGGGGAAAAAGGGAAGGGCCCGGCGTGAAACTCTGAAGCAAGCGCGGCCGCCCCGGGATGAGTGTGCTCGCTCACTTGCACAGGGCGGAGAGCGGCGGTGGTCGGTAGGGGAGGAGACGGCTGGATGCCGGTGGCCTGCCGGGCCGAGGAGGGAAGGACAGGGAGCCGAGGACGGCGGGCGGACGGATGCCGTGGGGTAAGGTGCTTCCTTGCTTCTGTGGCCCTCCAGCGTGCTGAGTCATGAGGGTGCGTCTTTCTGCTCGGTGGGGTCAGCGGGGACCTGAGAGTGGGACATTGGAACCCCTGAGGGGACTAGCTCCGCACACGGATGTCACTCACGGGGCGGGGGGAGGCGTGTTACGGTCCCCGTCAGCCACGGCAAGGAGCCGGCTTGCACCGGGAGGGGACACCAGGCACCGTGACATGTCCTCGTGTGTGGCCCAAATGCAGCAAGTGGGGGCCTCCCCTGGACCTCAGGGGGACCCCCCCTCCCGCCACGTCCCCCTCCCCCGGGGAGTCCCGCACACGGGCCAGCTGTGCCCGGCAGGGCACTTCAGAAATGAGACGTTTCAGACCGGGCGCAGTGGCTCACGCCTGTCATCCCAGCACTCTGAGAGGCTGAGGCGGGAGGGTCGCTCGAGGTCAGGAGTTCGAAACCAGCCTGAGCAAGAGCATGACCCCGTCTCTACTATAAATAGAAAGAAATTAATTGGCCAACTAATATGTATAGGGAAAAAAAAATTAGCCGGGCATGGTGGTGCATGCCTGTAGTCCTAGCTACTCGGGAGGCTGAGGCAGGAGGATCGCTTGAGCCTAGGAGTTTGAGGTTGCTGTGAGCTAGGCTGACGCCACGGAACTCACTCTAGCCTGGGCAACAGAGTGAGGAAAGAAAAAGAAAGGAAGGAAGGAAGGAAGGAAGGAAGGAAGGAAGAGGAAGGAGGAAGAAAGAAAGAAAAAAGAAAGAAAGAAAGAAAGACAAGAAAGAAAGAAAGAAGAGAGAAGAAAGATGAGACATTTAAGCCTGCCCCGATGGGGTAAGACAAGGCTGCTGGAGCCGGGAGTCGGGGGACTTCCCTGCATAGTCCCGCCGAGAAGCTCACGCCATGGAAACACACTGTTCAGCTTCCTAAATCCTGACGGACACCCGCCAGGAAGTCAGCTGCGCGCTCCGAGTCCAGCATCTACTCAGGACGAGAACTTGGCAGCTTCGACTCGCCGACACCCGGGACACCCCGCCACGCTCTGCGCAGCAGCGCCACGGCGCACCTTAGATACGTCAGCTGGGAAACTCGAAAGAAGAGAAACTGGGTCGGTGTGCAAACAGGCAGAAAGGCATAGCTTTGGCGTTGCGTAAACAGGTAACCCACAGACGCAGAAAGGCAGGATTACGCCTAGCCGGGCGCGGCTGGTTCAAGCCTGTCATACCTATCCGCGCCTGAGAGCCGAGGCGGAGGATCACCGCACGGATCGGCGAGCTTTGAGCAAGGCCTCGAGCAGAGCGAGACCTCACCGTATCACAAAAACAAAATTCAATCTGGCCAACTAATTACATACTAGGAGAAACAAAATTAGCCGGGCATGGTGGCTCACGCCTGTAGTCCCATCCGCACTCTGGATCGAGCGGGGAGGATCGCTCAGGTCGCGGAGTTTGAGACCAGCCTGAGCGCAGAGCGAGACTGTCTCTCACTAAAAATAGGAAAGAAATTAATTGGCCAACCTAAAAATATAGAGAAGAAATTAGCCGGGCATGCGGTGGCGTCATGCTGTAGTGCCCCAGCCTACCAGAAGTGAGGCAGGAGGATCGCGTTAGCGAGAGTTGAGGCTGCTGTGAGTGAGCTGACGCACGGCACTCTAGCCTGGGCAACAGAGTGAGGACTGTTGCTCAAAATAAAAAGAAAAAGAAAAGAAAAAGGAAAAAGGAAGAAGGAAGGAAGGAAGAAGGAAGGAAGGAAGGAGACAGGAGAGTAAGGAAGGAAGGAGAAGGAAAAGAAAAGAAAAGAAAAGAAAAGAAAAGAAAAGAAAAGAAAAGAAAAGAAAAGAAAAGAAAAGAAAAGAAAAGAAAAGAAAAGAAAGCAGATTAGCGGGATTATTGTGCATGCCTCCTTTGGGCTGTGGATGATGGGGTTGGTTTTTAGGGTTTTTCTTTTTCTTGTTTTTTTTGGGGGTTTTTTTTTAAGTGAAGTTTAAAGAAGCGTGTGGTTTTGGGCAGCCACAATGACAAGAAGGATCCCAGGATGGGCGCTCGGTTCTGAGGAAGTGAAATGGGGAACCGTTAGAGCAAGTGTTTCGAGTGGAGGGCGGGCATCTGCAGGGACAGCTCCATGCCCGTCCCCGAAGCTGTGGGGAAGGGCGCCCGCCAGGAAGGGAGACGAGCTCTCGACACGGCACTGCGGGGGGAGAGGGGCCTTTTCCTTCCCCTCGTCTGGGGTTCGCTGAGCCGGGGCCCCGGTGACAAGCGGCACGAATTGGCGAGAGAGAGGAACGAGCACCGTGCGTGAGTGGGCGCCCCTCATGTACAGGGCAGGAGTTGCCCAGAGAAGAGTGAGTTGGGCTCAGAGCGGAGGCTCAGACCGGAGGCCCAGAGCGGAGGACTGAATGCCCCTCCTTCAGCTGGGGCGGAAAAGAAGGGAGCCCGAACGTCCAGCCGTGGGGAGGCAACCGGGGGGGAAAAAGCAAGGTGGATGCCAGCAAGGTTTGAGGTGTGGCGGGTTCGAGTCAGCCCCTTCTCCACGGGTTGCAGCCTGTGGCGAATTAGGGACGCCGGAATCCGGAATCCGGGGGCAGAGAGGGAGGCGATGTTTTGGAAGTGCAGGTTCCCTTGGCAGGTGCCGACGTCTCTTGCAAGAGACAGTGAATGCCGACTCTTGAGTTTGGATCCGTTCTCAAAATAGCCAGCTCAAAATAGTCCGCATGCCAACGGGGTGTGTTTTGGGGCGGGTGTGTTCCGGTCTTGTGGTCACATGTCGGGGAGGCGTGTTCCGGTCTCATAGTCACCAGGGCGGCGTGTTCTAGCCTCCCATAGTCGTACTTGGGGTGGAATAGTCTAGTCTCATCGTCGTACTTGGGGGTGACGTATTCCGCCCTCGTAGCCTCATTTGGGGTGGTGCCTTCTGGCCCCACAGTCACATTTGGGGTGCGGGGTTCTGGACTCCTGTAAACCTCACAGCCCGGCTGGAAAGATGGGGAGAGGAGGCACGGAAACCACAGCCGCCCCAAGGAGTCTCGCAGCCTGGCCCCCGGCCCACCCCACCTGCCCACTCCCTGCTGAGTGACAGCTCGGCTCCAAAGTGCCCGGGGCACTCACACATGTCAGGGACAATGTGGCAGGTGCATGCCACAGGAGGGGAGGGTGAGCCACCCGGTGGTCAGGCCAAGGAAGTACCTTCCCCTGGAGCCTCCGGAGGTAGTGAGCTCGGCCCTGCCCACGCCGCGATCCCAGACGTCTGGTCTCCAGGACCGGGAGTAGAGGACAAATCCCTGCAGTTTTAAGCCCTCCGATCTGTGGTACTTTGTCGCGGCAGCCCCAGGACGCTCATGCACCAGCTCATGGTGGGAGAAGGAGTCGGCCCCGAGAAGAATGCCAGTGCCCCAAACTGCTGAACAGCCGAGCGGAGGGGGTAGCAGGACCCAGTGGATTCTGCACCTGTCAGTCACAGGGGGCGGGGCTTCATTGCATCTGCAGCCCGGGCTGCAACCAGGCACACCGAGGGTCTCTCGGTGGACTGCGGGAGGGAGCCCCCCCGACCCAGGGCAGAGCAAGGCTGGAAAGACGCAGACGAGGTCTGGGGGGAGCTGGACGCAGTGGGATCCAGCCCTCAGGAGGAGGACGCTGGGCTCGTCCACGTTGCACGTAGGTGGGCTCCAGGTGGGCGGGGAAGACCACACAGGTCTGGGCTGGTGGCTTTGACTTCCCTTTCCACAGCAAGTCAGGCTCCCTGCAGAGACTGACAGCTCAGGGAGGTGCAATGAGTGCAGGTGCATCAGCCTGAGGCGGGGGGACGGGCGGTTCACCCAGGTGCGCTGCCTGCCCCAGGTGTGCACACCTCAAGTTCACAGTTGGCCGCTGCAACGCTGAGGCGGATGTGGAGGAGATGAGGTCACAAGGGTCAAAGCCCACCAGGGCTGCTTGGGGAGGCCTCCCACCTAGAGACGTTCACACATGCCCTTAAAAAAAAAAAAACTGTAAGTCTGCATTTATTTATGTTTAGGGAGGGCAGTTTAATGTTTGCAGAAAAATCCAGCATTCCTATATATGCGCAGTTTGCTCTGTGGTTAGCACGTTGCCTTGATGTGCTACATTGTCGCAAGCACGGTGCAGCAGTGGGCTAGATTGTTGCGAGCATGGTGTGCAGGTGTGCTGCATTGCTGCAAGCATGATGTACTGCATTATTGCAAGCATGGTGCGCCAATGTGCTACGTTGTTGCAAGCATGGTGTGCCAGTGTACAACATTATTGCAGGCACGTTGCACCAGTGCCTGCTGCATTGCTGCAAGCATGTTGCACCGCTCTGCTACATTGTTGCAAGCACGTTGCACTGGCATGCTGCTTTGTTGCAAGCATGCGGCACTGCTCTGCTACGTTGCTGCAAGCATGCGGCATCCGTGTGCTGCATTGCTGCAAGAATGTTGCACCGGTGCGATACATTGTTGCGAGCATGTTGCGCCGGTGTGCTACGTTGTTGCGAGCATGCAGCACCAGTGTGCAACGTTGTTGCGATCATGCTGCACCAGTGTGTTTGTTTCAAGCATGGTGCGCCGATGTGGAACACTGTTGCAAGCACGCTGTGCCAGTGTACTGCATTGTTGGAAAGCACAGTGCGCAGGTGTGCTACATTGTTGCGAGCATGCAGCACCAGTGTGCAACATTGTTGCAAGCATGCTGCACCGGTGTGTTTGTTTCAAGCATGGTGAGCCGATGCGCAACATTGTTACAAGCACGCTGTGCCGGTGTACTGCATTGTTGAAAAGCACAGTGCGCAGGTGTGCTTCATTGTTGCAAACATGGTGCGCTGGTGTGCTTCATTGTCGCAAGCATGGTGCACTGGTGTGCTACATTGTTGTGAGCACGTTGCACTCGCGTGCTGCTTTGTTGCAAGGACTGAGCCTGTATTGATACAGTGTTACTAAGTAAAGGGTGAAGTTTACTTGCTGAGGTTTGCACTGGTTTTGTGCATTCCACGGGACTGTACAAATGCACACTGACCTGGACCCAGCCCTACAGTGTCACACAGCAGTTTCGCTGCTTCAAATGTCTTCCGTCCTCTGCCCGTTCATCCCTCCCGCCCCCTAATTCCTTGCAACCTCTCACCTCTTTCATCTCCATCATTTTTTCTCTTTTCCGGAATGTTCCCCATGTTGCAGTCACACAATCTGTAGCCTTTTTTTGCACACTGGCTTCTTTCATGCAGCAATATGAATTTTATACACTGACTGCCACACTAGAAAAAAATATATATATTTTTTTCCCCTGGGACCACGGTGTTTTATTAAAGACAAACGATCCTTTCTAATTTGCTATTTTTTTCTTGTTTTCTGTGCGCCAGTTCTATGTACCGCAATCCACGTTTTTAGAATGAAATTGTCACTATTCATGGGGACATTAAGAACATCAGCAAGTAAGATTTCCACAAACCAGCAGCAGGGTTTCGCTTCACACAGACCTGGGGTGAAAAGCAGCCCGAGTTAAATACAACTCACGCGGCAGTCAGTGTGCTAAGGTTCCCCTGCGTTTTTTTAGGTGCTTACCCCTCTTATTTTTCCTCTTCCCTTTTTTCACTTACCTTTTTCCATTGTAACAAAACTCAAGTTAAACAAAAAACAAAAAACCTCAAAAAATAACAAAAAGCCCCGTTATTATTAAAACGGAAACCTTAACCATTATTTCTTATTCTGTTCTCCCCAAATCCACACTAATTATTAAGAGAAAGTGGAAGCAAAGAGAAACTAATCAGACCCATGGCAATTTGCCCAGAGCATATTCGGGTCAGCATTTTGTGTCACCCATGGAATTGAGGCCACCTGACCAGGAACCAGCAAAGCTTCACGAAAGTTCACCATCTTGAGACCCCAAAGACGACCACATCCTAGTCCCATGTGGTAACCAGAAAAATGTGCCCAGAGATGTCCACGTCCTAATCCCATGTGGTAGACAGAATAATGTCCCCAGAGATGTCCACGTCCTAATCCCATGTGGCAGACAGAAGGATGTCCCCAGAGATGTCCACGTCCTGATCCCATGTGGTAGACAGAATAATGTCCCCAGAGATGTCCACGTCCTAATCCCATGTGGCAGACAGAATAATGTCCCCAGACATGTCCACGTCCTAATCCCATGTGGTAGACAGAATAACATCCCTAGAGATGTCCACGTCCTAATCCCATGTGGTAGACAGAAGGATGTCCCCAGAGATGTCCACATCCTAATCCCACATGGGAGACACAATAACGTCCCCAGAGATGTCCACGTCCTAATCCCATGTGGTAGACAGAATAATGTCCCCAGAGATGTCCATGTCCTAAATCGAGATGCTTCACAGATGGAGGTATCCATGGCCCCTCTGCAGCCAGTGTTGGTCCCCCAGGTACGGCCACCCCCTGACCTCCCCACTGGGTTTGTTTCTGCACGCCGTGTCCCCAGGGAAACTCTCTGTGGGGTCCCCTGGCTGCAGTGCCCCGGCAGAGCTGATCGTCTGTCTCAGCCTGTGCCGCTGTGTCCCTGCAGGACCATCCTGCCCCGTGGGCAGCCCCATGGTTCTCCTGGCCACGGCCCTTCTGCTGTCAATGCTGCTGGACCCGGCTCTCCTGCTGACTCTGGAGCCCCGGGGTGAGTGCGGGACGTGATTGGCGCTTCCCTACGGCCCCCTCAGATGTCCGTCATGTGTGGGTGCGTGTCCCGCCCATGCTTGGGTCCAATTTCATTTCACCCCAACCTTCATGAGGGACCTGGTGAGCCCCGGGTGGCCCGCTGGAAGCCTCAGAGCTCCTGTTGTCCTCTCCCCATTTGGTGCTGAGAATGCCCATCCGCCCGTTGTACAGATGGGGAAACTGAGGCTCGGAGACGGGAATGGTTTCACCTAGCTAGTGACGGGGCTGGAGTCTAACCTGGGTCCCCACGGAGTTTTTCCGCTTCCGTCCCTAGCTGTCGCCACTCACTGCTAGAAGCAAAATGAGTTTTGTGGGCGCGGGGAGGAGGAGGGGGGGGGTCTCTGTCCACGGCGGGAGGGCCCTTGGGGGGGGGGGGGGCTCGGTGTGGGGGCGCGAGGTCTACACCGCGTGCCGCCTGGCCTTTCTCCCTCGGGTCTCACACGGCGGGGACCAGGGCGGGTCTGTCTTGCCCTCCGGGGTTGAGTGGCAGCCCGGCGCGGGCAGGTTGTCCCCCGGGCGACGCGGGTTCTCCGTGGACTTGTCCCGGGTCCCCTGCAGAGACTCCCCGCGTCCGGCCCCGACCCCCACTCGCTGGCCGGCGGCCGGGCACAGGGGCTTCCTGACTGGCGGCCGCTCCCCGCAGGACCCCCTACCCCGGGGCCGGAGCCGGCCCTGCACGCCAGGTTCGACCCCCGGGCCATGCGGCTGGCCTGGGACTGCAGGGAGGACGCCACGGCCAGCAGGTGCGCGCTGACGCCCCGTGGGGGCGACCCCGTTGTGAAGAAGGTGAGCAGGTGCGTGCCCAGCCCCGCCTCCACGCGGCCCCGCCCAGGTGGAATGCCAGGAGGGCAGCCAAGGGGGGGGGCACACGGGTGGCGTTTGGGGACACGCAGGGCAGGGGTGGGGACTCTGGGGGGAGGGTGGCATTTGGGGACACGCAGGGCAGGGGTGGGAACTCTGGGGGAAGGGTGGCGTTTGGGGACACCCAGGGTGGGGGTGGGGACTCTGGGAGGAGGCAGGGCCGGCTAGCATGGGGGGGACGGGGTCCGTCTCCCTGGGGCGCCAGCGCAGTGTGGCCTAACGGGACAGGGAGCCTTAGTTACAGAAAAAACTCAAATCATTTTCTAAAAAGCAAAGGGTGGGTGGGACTTTTTTTGTATTTACATATAAAGGATTAAGTGTGTATAAGGGGGAAAAAAGAATACCTGTTATCTTTATTGGAATTCCCTCCAATATCCGCGGAGGAGCAGGGGAGTGGGGTGGCCTCTGTCACTGTGTCCCCCGCCCTGTGGACTCAGTGTCAGCACATGGGGGGGGAGGGGGAGAGGGAGGCGGAGAGGGAAGAGAGGACGGGAGGAGGGGAGGAGGGACGGAGGGGGAGAGGGAGGGGAGAGGGTTGGGAGGAGGGAGGTGGAGGATTGGAGGGGGAAGGGAGGGGTAGTGAAGGGGGGGAAGAGGGAGAGAGGAGGAGGGGGACAGGAGGAGGCGGTACGGGAGGAGGGTGGAGATAGGAGGACAGGAGGAGAGAGGGAGGAGGGTGCGGGACAGGAGAGGGAGGAGGAGAGGTTTGCAGAAGAGGGACAGGAGGAAGAGGGAGAGGAGGGACAGGAGAGAGGGGAGCAGGTTGGAGGAGGGAGGGAGAAAGCAGGAAGAGAGGGGGAGGGAGGGGAGGGAGGGGAGAAGGAATAGAGGGGGGATGAGGAGGGAGGGAGAGGAAGAAGGGAAGAGGGAGGGAGGAACGAGGGGACAGAGAGGGGGAGGAGGGTGGGAGGAGGAGGATGAAGGATAAGGAGGGGGGGACCGGGAGACGAGG